GGTGCAGCTGGCAGAGGGATTCTGAGGTGTCTGAGCTGAGCTCACGCCGCCTGGTCCTTGCCAACCTGTAGATCTGAGACCCGAGCCATATTTTCCATTTCTCAACTTCGTCGCCCGTAGTGAGAAAAACAAACCACTCACGCCCTGCGGGTTCAGTGCGATGACATCATATGTTGAGAGTATAGGAGGGGTGCAATCTCATGGGGTAAGGATGGGGACATGCTCATCCTTCCTGGACCCATTGGGCACGACACTCAGACCGACAAGGGCACAGAAAAGACAGAACTGCAAGTTTGTGCTGCTCAGCAGGCATTGCCGTTCATCGGGAAGTGGCTCCGCCTGTTCCTGTGATCTTGCGAGAGGTAGTTACGAACAAAGGCTTACAATTTCATTTTATCCCGCCGGCCCTCGAGGAAAGAATTTCCGAGATGAGACATTGCCGGAGATTGCCCTGACCTCGCCAGGGCTATAAAAGCAGTGAAGGTCTCTAGGAACTGGAATGACAAGCAATTTGGTGTTTGCAGCTGGTAGCTTCACTGGTTCACCGTGCTGCAGACCGGGAAGACTCAAGCGCCGTCTTTGCGAGTCAGGGCCCTTCTAGTAATTGCAGTGTATTGCCTCGGGCCATCGAACACTGCGACCTTGTGCAAAAGGTGCTGGACATTCCCGAAGATGAAGACTTGCTGAATGCCACCACCTCGGATAGTCTGACGAAGCCTTGATGCCTTCACAATCTCCGATTGCGGTAGCTGGCTCCGACCATAACAGGTAGCCCTGTGGGAAGAGAAAGCCACCAAGCAGTGGTGCAAGTTTGATATCACTGTGAGCTCCTCAGCTTCAGCAGCTAGAGCGATGAGTCTGGTGATTTCTGAAGCCTGTCTTTCTGTGACAGGATCCGACTGAATTCACGTCCCTCTTCGACTGGAAGCCCAAGAATGGCAACAAGCTCCGGTCCCAGCTCCCCTTTTTACATCATTTCTGGATGGTATTAACAAGTTGCAGAGGAAGGCAGCAAGATGCCCATCTCAATTCCTGCTCATTCGTAGGTAGGAGTAGAAGAAGGAGTCCTTTCTGCGTTCGTGGCCGTGGTGGCCCGCGGCAGCTAATGAAACTATGACGTAGACTTGCATGCGAGGTGCTTCGGCTGGACCCTTGGATCGATGCAAAATCCTGCAGGCATGCCATACTTCAGAAGCGCAGAGGTCTTCACGTGGTTTCTTCGCTGAAGCTTGTGTTCCTTCCTGAGGTTGCGCCAACATTATGTCAGACAAACGGTTCTACAAACATGGCGGTGCCGCCAAACTGTCGCATGCTCAGCAAGAGCAGGCTTGGACAGTAAGGTGGTACCACTCTTTGCGGCTTTGAGGTTTTACACTGCACACCATGCGGTGGTCCCATCCGAGCAGTGACCTTAGCCTACCTGATCAGTTCAAACCTGAAGCCAAACGAAAGCTATGCCTTCGGCCGTGTGAGAGCCGGAATGCGGGCAGGACACGCAAGCAAGTCGATCAAATCGAGAGCAAGCTGAAGGAAGGTAGCTGGCCCGCCTCCACAATTGCGGGAGCCTCAGGCAGGCATGGCGCGAAGCTTCTGTTGCATGCTGTGAATGTTGGCGTGGGCAACATCGTAGTAAAAACCAATTGTCCTCGCCCCTCACTTTTATATGTGAATATGACAGCAACTGATCCTGGATGCCCGAAAAGCTTCCGTCAGAATGCCAGCTCAAACCTTGTCAGCAAATAGGCCTTTTCCTTAGACTGAACCTCAACAGCTCAGAAATCATTTTGGAGGAAAGGGCAGAGAAAGGAGTGAGGAGTAACGACATGTGATAGGACGCAGTAAATGATGTCAGCTGCTGCTTTATGCTTGCAGCCTTTCCTTGGGTCCGGCATTTATTTGACTGGGTGCCACGCGGCTGTTGGCACTTTCAATCAGTGGCTTTTCCCTTTTTTCCTCAACGAAGCCTGTCTCTTACCGCACCGAGGTTTTCAACCAGTCGGCATCTTGGGTAGATTGTTTCCCCCACACCCTACGTGTGTCTCCATGTGCGGCTCTTGGCACAAGGAGATTGTGGACCGCAGATGAGCTGCGCAAAGCACATCCACAGCTGGAATGCTCGTGCCTTAGACCTTATGATGTGAAGCAGCATAAAAAAGGCTTCACATAAGGAGGGTTCATAGCCGTTCAATACAGGTGAGCTTAAGAGCACAAGATGGACGGCATTTGTCATGTGCCACTGGCTTCAGATGGGTCAGGTAGACATGCCTCCCCACCGCATACCTGATGCATTCGGCATGCATGCAAGATTCGAAGATGCCCGAGCTTTTGTGTGCCAGGTTTGGTTTGAGCCTCGCGGCCGAGTCGGACTCTGCAGCTCAAAATTTGATCTCTGTTCGCGAGCCACAGGGCAGGAGGGAGGTCATGGCCCTGGCATTGCAGCCCAGACGGCATTGTTGGCTCGAGCTGTTCAGATTGGACCTTCCAGGTATCCCCACGGCGCAGAAGCGCATCACCATGACATCTACATTTTACATGACTAGTCACTAGTCTTTTGCCTCGTCTGCCATGACCAACCAGAGTCTTCTGCATTCTCGTCCGGTCACAGGGCATGCCAGGGCTCCCAGAAAGCTAAGAGCATCCCTGCACTCGTTTCTGTTCGGGCCTGATGTCTTGCGCGGAGGCAGCGGAACTAAACTTCGCCTGATGGAACTGTAACTCACAGACGCGACTCGAAGCTTTCTTGTAGTAAGCCTTACCGATGTTGTGGGGCCTGTCAGGATTGAGGTATCTTGCTCCAGAAAACTCGTCGACAGGGCATGTCTTACCGTGCAGTTGCTGGCTCGGTAGGCTCCAGGTGTCCAGTCAGGTAGGAGCCGGTAAGGACTCGACAGCTTTAGGCGCCATGCTGTCTTCCAACGCCGCCTTCACAGTGATCAGTCCCTCCACGATTGCTCCTCAAGTGCA